AAGGAAGGAAGGAAGGAAGGAAGGAAGGAAGGAAGGAAGGAAGGAAGGAAGGAAGATAAGTGTTCATAGGGTTCGTGTGAAATATATGAACTGTACGTATCCTAACATGACTTCAGCTACATACAATTAACTATAATTCCCATCACCCCAACATTTAGATTTTGTAACCCAAAACATCTTGGTGGACTCAAATTGGGGAATGTGGTTTTCTATCATGGACTTTACAACAGCTGAACTCATATTTGGTTTACAATCTGGAAACAGATAAGAAATAAGTATTAAAATAAGAGAAGAGTTAAATGTAGTGAATAAATTTTCCACCCTATATTTGGGGAGTGGATATTTGTTATATCTTCAAATCACAAAAAGACTTTACAGAAGAGAGAGGTTAGCAGAGTTATGGGATATCTCAATAATTCTCAATGGTTAATTCTGGGCCTGAACAATGAACAGTTGTATTCGTACTGAATATGCCTAGAATAGGAATGTGAAAGAATTATTTATTTATCAAATTTGCATCCCTCCCAACTCCCAAAGACTTTGGGCAGCTCATAACTAAAACAAAAGAAATACAATTAATAATAAGGAAAAATAGAAGATGGCAAGAGCAACAAACTGTGTATTCCTAAAATCCAGGATATAGCAATATACAATATTTCAAGAAATTAAGTATCTTTAAAAAGTATGTATATTATCCTTTTTCTGCCTTGAGGCATACCAGATGTGCACCGAATTTTCACCTGAAATATAACAGCTGCAAGCGTGTAGAAGGAAGGGGTATGAATGCAAATTTTGCTTTTTTGTCTCCACATGTGCCACCTGCCATTTTTAAGCATGCTTAAAGCATGAACGAGATATTGAAAACATGCTTAGAAACATTTTTTTAGACTTCTGTGCTGAGCTCAGAAAAGCCTACATACGTATGTGTGTGCCTTTGCTTTACACTCTTTATCAGACTTTTCATATTTAAGAAAATACATGAACAGGCCCATTAAAAAAGCATACACAATTTTTCAAACTATTTATACATATATATGTATATACACAAACACATGCACACACCCCTTGGGATGCTACTTAGGGTTTGACCTGTCTTCCCAAAATCAAGAGGCCACTCCACATAATCTGTGAACCATATATTCAAATGTAATCATGAGTTTGTGCAACAACTTCACTCAATAAAATATTTTGACTAATGGAAATCATTAACTGGGTGAAAGAGTCCTAGTCCCTTTTAATGAAAATGTAACCCCAGTATGATCTGTACATGATTACTATGTATTAGCTTAGGATTGTGGAAAGATCCCCGCCTACCCCCATCCATCATTCCCAGAGACCAGGTTGCTAAGTAAGAGTTCATGATCTAGAAATAGTGAGGAATAGTGCTTGGATGCTGAGTGAGAAGATTTGAGCTTACACAAAAGGGGGAAAAATGCAGAATTTTCAAGTGACAATGTATTTGTCACAGAATGTGTATCAGAGAGACCTGGATTCCCGAGAGGACTGAGAAATCCCAGTGCAAGAAAAGCCCAAAGCTGATTGGGGAGCAGTAGGTCATGGAGATGGTTGTGGGGTGGAACCCTGTGGGAGAGACCCATGTTTTAAATGCCTTGGAGTCATTACACTGGAGCTACTAATAGGTGCTAATAATATATTATTTTACGAAGAGTATGTTCTATTAGATCAAACATAACTTCCTCATGCTGTGATTCTTCTTCTCAAGATTTTGGGCAAGCACCTAGTCTAATGGCAGGCTTGAGTCTAAATGGTAAAAGTATTTCCTTCTACAAATAATTAGTGCTGCCTGGCATCTATAGAGGTATTTTTCTTTCATTGCATTGCTTCAGTAATATATTGTTGTTTTATCCCTGATTACACCCTGAAGAATTAGTCCCTTCAAGCATTCACTGGCATAAATGAAAATCCTTTGCTTTGCTGTATCATAATATATTGCTTCAAAACAAGCAAGAATATTGTTTCTTCTGCAAAGTAAGAGTTTATTGGAAGTGAGATATGTTTATTGTCTTTCTATCTGATTTTTTTTAAAACAGAGAAGAATATCAGATGTCTAGTTTATTTCACAATTAGAATGAAAGAAATGCAGTACATAGTTCAGAGAATTAGAGAAGAAAAATGGCTTATGGAGAAAACAAGTGAATACTTTTATAGGCACTATCCAAACCAAATGAATGTTTGGGAAAATCTGTTTATTTTAATTTTGGGTAAAATTGTTGTCAGGGATTTGCAATTTTCTAGTGTTTTACAGCAGTCCACATCCTTGTAGGCACCTCACTGTGGAATCTTCTGGTCTTGCTGCTCCCCCTGTTTTCTTGTTCATTCTGCTCATTAGTCCTTTTTCAGCATTTTAGTAATGAGAAGCAGATGATGATGAAGCAAAATGTTCCATCTAAAAATAGGAAGCTCAGGCTGAATGTCAGTAGAAGCTTTCTGACAGTATGAGCCATCAGTTGAGTGGAACAGGCTATCACATGACACAGTGAATTTTATTTTGCTGGAGGTCTTCAGAGGCTAGGTGGTCATTTATCAAAGATGTGTAATGGATCCTCCATTGAGCAGGGAATTGAAGCTAGGTGACTTCTATGGTCATTTTCAACTCTAAGATTCTATAACTTATGAAAATTTTGCATGTGAGATAGAAGATAAACAAATTATGGTCCAGTGAAGATTTCTTCTGCAAGAACATGTCCAAACAGAGATTTATGAGTTATCTCAGAAGTGTTTTAGGGTGAACTAATTTTTTTTTTCTTCTGCAAGAACATGTCCAAACAGAGATTTATGAGTTATCTCAGAAGTGTTTTAGGGTGAACTAATTTTTTTTAAAAAAATACTAGTCAAAAATATATGTCACAATAACACGTTGATAATGGAGTTCTGGAACTACATTAGGGGCAAAGTGATTAATATTAATAATTTA